CAGTATAGTATATAATAGTATATTGCAGCCTGTTATTTAGCTGCTGTTGTTGGTTGCTCTTTGAAATACATGTGGTAAGATAATCAGAGTTTTATGGTGGTGTTGTGTCATAACTTTAGCGCTAAAATACACTGATCAATCTCTCTCTCTCTCTCTTACTCGCTCACTCGTTCAATAGGTAGACATACTGTATGTGTGTGTAGGAAACCTAAAGGTAGCCTACAATCAGACAGGTGGTTGTTGTGCATACTATGAAATATAATCCTACTGGTGCCACTGAGGAACAGAACTGCACTGCATTCACCAAAGAATAAAAGATCTCTGGAGACTTTTTAAACATGATGTCTGTCTATCATAATCTAAAACTTTTACCTCATAATTACAAGATCCAATTCTGATAATTATGTGAAAGCTCATAATTATGAAATAGTGTTCTCGTAATTATGACAAAAAGGTGAGGGTGGTTATCAATAATTGGCATTTGAGAAGACAGAATCCTGATATCGAGGCCTGATTTAATTCCTTGGTTTGAGGCAGTGACAGGTATTAATGTGTGTTGTGTAGTGATGTGGATAGCGTCACTGTTTAATTGTTTTTATTTTATGTCATGTTTTTATGTATTTCTTAAATGTTTTTACTGTACAGCACGGTGTAACCCAGGTTTCCAAAGGTGCTCTATAAATAAAGTTTTACTTACTTACTATAGAGAGCCGCAGGAGAGAGTCATAAACCCAGAAATTAGTTAGCATTTCCCTCATCCTAAAGTATCTAGGTTCTTAGAATGGGTTTAAGGTCAAACAAGCTCAAGACATTTTCAGACTTTATTCTACGACATAAAACCAGTCAGTAAATACCCCAGTCCTGATTTCTTTAAGCCCTTACGTCTCGGTTGTTAACAAGTGTCTAAATGAAACTACAGAGGTTGTCCGGGACGTTAAACATCATCACGTTGAACATGAAAACTGATCTACTCTCCAGTCCACCTTTACAGCCTGGTTGTGTTTATACAAACTGTCTCTAACTCCGTCAGAGGAAAGGCTTTGGAAGAAGAGGTCAGAGCTGAATCAAACTACAAGCTGAAGTTTAGTGGTGGTGAGGCTGAAGTCATGTGACCGTGGTGTTGAAGTCATGTGTCCGTGGTGTTGAAGTCATGTGACTGTGGTGCTGAAGTCATGTGACCGTGGTGTAGTTGGTTTATAGTCTAACATTAGCTCTTTACTTCTGCTGATTGTATTGAGGCTTCAAACATCATGAAGTGGAGTTCATTAGAGAAGATGATCCTGCTGAACTAAACCTGTCAGGATCATTAACTGTTGTTTATTTTCTCTAATAATCCAAGAGACAATGTTAAAATCCCATTGACTGTTAGTGGAGGGAACCAGGGGGATGCTAACGGCGAGTTGGACTACAGAAATACATTGTCTCTGCAACTCTCTGTTAGAGTTACATTCTGTGCCAGCGAATAACCAATCACTTGTGATGATGATGTCATGCTGATGATGTCATGCTGATATACACATGAGGTTGATATTTTCACATGAACTAGTTGCATCCTCCAGATTGCTGTTGGAGAGTTTTTATAGTAGTGACTAATAGAGACAATACAATATGCGTAATAAGTATTATATTGATCTAATGAACAGTAGGTTTGGGCTGATATTCAATAATCTCAAATATTGCGATATTTCCCATCATGCAATATTCTTCTGTATTTTTTATTGTTTTACACAGTCTGATCTGCTTCAATGCTTTGCTCATGTCATGTGACAAAATAAAACTTTGAACTGCTGTTTAGTGGCATTTACTGACATTGTACACATTTGTATTATTCCATTATATTTCATTTTTAATGTTTCTATTTATATTTAAGCTAACTGACCTGCAGCACTGGCTTTGCTTTAACTCTCTGTACATATTTTTTCTTCTTCTTTGTTTCTTGTTATAACCCAAAACAGCAAAGCAAATTCCTTGCATGTGAAAACCTGATTCTGATTCAATAACAATAAAATACAAGTGACAATACTGTATATCAGGATATTTAGGCCTGACTGTATCAAGATTTTGAACTGTTGATGTCGCCCAAGTCTATTGCACAGTCATCTGAAGTCCCTGGGATTCATCAGGCAGAGAGCAGACTCTGATCTGATAAAATGAATCACGCATTGAAGTATGAAGATGTTGCAATGGCAAAATGGCTGCAGTTCATAACCAGGTCACAGAATACAGTCTAACACCTGATATGTCCTAATTATCAGATCTTTTCTTGTTTGAATAAGATAATAAGACCATGTTCAGAGCAACACCAGAACAGTGAGGGCTGCAGCACAAAAACAAAACAACAAACAAATAAATGATGAACCTGGCTCATAATGCATTGCAACATCCTCACAGAAGACGAGCTCACAATCACCACCACCAGCCTGGCCTGTTGACACCAGGCAGGTTGGTCCATGGATTCAGACTCTGACTCCACCATCTGCTGCCTCAGCACAGATCCAGATCCATCAGACCAGGTCTTCAGCTGTCCAGTGTTGGTGATCAGCTGGAACC